GCATTGTTGGTGGAGTTGTGAATTGGTCCAGTTATTCTGAAAAGCAATCTGGAATTAAGCAAAAAGAGTGACTAAAATGCCCATACTGTTTTACCCAGAGATTCTGCTGCCAGGCATAAGGAGGTCGATGACAAAAAGAAAGACTATATTTATTCCAAAATATTTATGGCAACATTTTGTTTGAAGTAGCAAACATCTGGAAACAAAATAAATGCTCATTGATTGGGGAACAGCTAAACCATTTATGGCACATGAATGTAAAAGAGTATTACTGTGCTATAAGAAATTATGAATGTGGTGAATACTATGGAGAAGAAAGGGAAGAGTTACACGAACTGGTGCAAAATAAAGTAGGCAGATCCAGAAAAAATTATACACACATATATTTGTGAGAAGTAAGAAAAGATTATATTTCCATATAAGGAAATCGAGAGGAAAGTAGCTCTGGGTGAGGAACTTCAAGAACCAGCTAAAATCGGGTGAAACTAGTAGTGTGGTTGTGTTTTGTTTCCTCTTTCTGGTGGTTCCTCCTATTGGTTCTAATTCTTACTTACAACGTCACTAATGTGAAACTATGTTTCACAGGAGTGTATGTGTATAGCTTATATCAGATTGTGTGCCCGACTTGGGGAGGGAGGTGGGGAGGGAGGGAGAGAAAAATTTAAAACTCAAAAGTCTATGGAAGTGATTGTTGATAATTCAAAATAAATTAATTTAAAAAAGAAACTGGTAGTGTGGTTGGGGAGCTGTAAGGAGGACGAAGGTTAAGCTTTACTTAGAGTGCGGCGTGCTTAATAGGTTCACGAGTACCAGCTTCTCCACCTCCAGGCAGGGTTGAGATGCCATTTTTTGACCATACGACCTATGAAGAAGGGTGATAACATACCAAGGGGAGCATGTAATGGGCATTTTGGGAAGTCTATGACCTGTGCTGACTCCTACCAATGAAAGTGAGCTGGGAGGGCCTTGTGGCCGGGAATAGGAATGTAAGGATTGCTCTCACTTCTGCAGTGTGTATGTGCTAAGCCTGAGTTCCACACCCACTTCCTGCAGGAAGGGCATTAAAGGTTTCACTGCCTCACTCATCCTGAGTCTGTCTAACATACTGTGCCTGTTTGGGTACCAGAGGTTATTTCCGACATATTTATATAATAATTACAATGATGTTGCTGGAAAGAACAGCAGCAAAACTATCCAGAGTAAATACTGAGGAATTGTAGTGTCTGAACGTGGTCACAAAGAAGAATTACAAGAAGGTCTTTCAGTTTCTTTGCCGAGGTTGGGGATCAAGGGACTATGGGTATAGAACACTCACTATATGCCATGTCAGAGTTTTTCAATATGTTAGTTTTACTGAACTTCCTTCCCCTTCTGGGAGAAGAAATGAAAGGGGTGTAGTAGAAAATGTGTGTGACATAAAACAAAAGGTATCAATAAAATTTATTTGAAATAAATAAGTAGTAACAAATGTACTCTCTTCTCAGTTTCCCCTCCAATTTTTACCACTCCCACCCCATCCTCACCTCAGTACTATCTTGTTGTGGTGCAAGGGCTTGCATAGCTCAACGAAACTATCCGTTATGCCACGCAGGGTTACCCAAGATGGGCAGGTCATAGTGGAGAATTCTGACAAAGGTGATTCACTGGAGAAGAAAATGGCAAATCACTCCAGCATCTTTGCCAAGAAAACCCAAGACAGTACTAAAATTATAAAAGAGATGACATCAGGAGATGAGCCCCTTAGGTCAGAAGGTGTCTAATATGCTACTGGGGAAGAGTGGAGGACAACTACAAGTAGTTCCAGTACCAATGAAGTGGCTGGGCCAAAGCCAATAAGAAGCTCAGTTATGGATGTGTCTGGTGACAAAAGGAAAGTCTGATGCTGTAAAGATCAATATTGCATGGGAACCTGGGACATAAGATCTATGAACTAAGGTAAGCTGGATGAGGTCAAACAGGAGATGGAAAGATTAAACACTGACATCTTGGATGTCAGTGAACTTAAATGGATGGGAACGGGTGAATTTAATTCAGACAATCACTACATATACAACTGTGGGCAAGAATCACTTAGAAGAAATGGAGTAGCCCTCATAGTCAATAAAAGGGTACTGGAGTATAATCTCAAAACTGACTGATTTCTGTTCAAATTCAAGGCAAACCATTCAACATCATAGTAATACAAATCTATGCTCCAACCAATGGTGCTGAAGAGGACAAAGTCGATCAGTTCTATGAAGACCTACAACATCTAGAAATAATACCAAAAAATGCCACATTCATCACAGGGGATTGGAATGCTAAAGTAGGAGATCAAAAACTAATTGGGATAATGGGCAAATTTGGCCTTGGATACAAAATGAGATATGGTAGAGACTAATAGAGTTTTGTCAAGATAACTCACTGATTATAACAAACATTCTATTTCAACAACTCAAAAGTGACTCTACACAAGGACATCACCAGATGGGCAATATAGAAATCAAATTGATTACATACTTTGCAGCCAAAGGTGGAGAAGCTCTAGACAGTCAGTTAAAATGAGACCTGGAGCTGACTATGGATCAGATCATGACCTTCTTATTGCAAAATTCAGACTTACATTGAAGAAAGTAGGGAAGACCATCTGACGTGTTAGGTGTGACCTGAATAACATCCCTTATAGGTGATGAATTCATGTAAGAGATTAGGTCTGGTAGATAGAGTACCTGGATTACTATGGACAGAGGTTAGCAGTGTTATACAGCAGGCAGCAGCAAAAAACATTCCAAAGAAAAAGAAGAGCAAGAAAGCAAAATGGCTGCCTGATGAAGCTTTACAAATAGCTGAGGAAAGAAGGAAAGGGAAATATATATCCATCTGAATGCAGAATTCCAGAGAATAGCAAGGAGAGATAAGCTTTTCTTAAATGAACACTGCAAAAGAAATAGAAGAAAACAATAGAATGGTAAAGACAAGAGATCTCTTCAAGAAAATTAGAGACATCAAGGGAAAGTTTCATGCAAAAATATGAATGATAAAAAGACAAAAATGGTAGGGATTTAACAGAAGCAGAAGAGATAAAGACGAGGTGGCAAGAATATAAAAAAGAACTATACAAGAAAGATCTTAACATTATGGATGACCACAATGACGTGGTTACTGATGTAGAGCCAGACATCCTGGAGAATGAAGTCAAGTGAGCGTTAGGAAGCATTGCTAACAATAAAGCTAGTGGAGGTGATAGAATTCCAGCTGAGCTATTTAAAATCCTAAAGGATGATGCTGTTAAAGTGTCTCACTCAATATGCTAGCAAATTTGGAAAACATAACAGTAGATATTGGATTGGAAAAGATCAGTTTATATCCCAAACCTAAAGAAGAGCAATGCCAAGGAATGTTCAAATGACTGAATAATTACACTTATTTCACACATCAGCAAGGTTATGTTTAAGCAGTATGTCAACTGAGAATACCAGAAGAGCAGGCTGGTTTTTGAATAGGCAGAGGAACTAGAGACCAAATTGCCAACATGTGCTAGATCATGGAGAAAGCAAGAGAGTTCCAGAAAGAAATCTACTTCTGTTTCATTGACCACACTAAAGCCTTTAACTGTGTGGATCGCAACAAAATATGGCAAGTCTTCAAAGAGATGGGAGGACCAGATCGTCTTACTTGTCTCCTAAGAAATCTGTATGTGGGCCAAGAAGCAACAGTTAAAACTGAACATGGAACAGTTGTTTAAGATTGGAAAAGAAGTATAACAAGGCTGTATATTGTCAACTTATTTATTTAACTTATACACAGAGTAAATCATTAGAAATGCCAGGCTGGACAAATCAAAGGCTAGAATTAAGGTTGCTGGGAGAAATATCAACAGTCTCAGATAGTGAGATGATACCACTCTGACAGGCAGAAAGTGAAGAATTAAGAAGCCTCTTGATAAGGGTGAAAGAGGACAGTGTAAAAGCTGGCTTGAAGCTTAACATAAAAAAAACAAACTAACTAAGATCTTGGCAACTGGTCCCATCACTTCCTGGCAAATAGACAGAGAAGAAATGGAAACAGTGTCAGATTTTATATTCTTGGGCTCAAAGATCACTGCAGATGTCAACTGCAGCCATGAAATTAAAAGATGCTTGCTCCTTCAAAGGAAAGCTGTGGCAGATCTGGACAGCATACTGAAAAGCAGAGATATTACTTTGATGCAAAGATCCCATATGCTATGGTTTTTCCAGTAACAATGTATGGCTGTGAGTAGGATTGTAAGGAAATCTGAGCAGTGATGCTTTTGAATTGTGGTGCTGGAGAAGATTTTTGACAGTCCCTTAGACAGCAAGTAGATCAAATCAGTCAATACCTAAAGAAATTAATTCAGGCTATTATTCCCTGGAAGGTCAAATACTGAAGCTGAAGCTTAAATACTTTGGCCACATAATGAGAAGATGGGACTCATTGGAAAAGACTCTGATGTTGGGAAAGGATGAAGGTAAAAAGAAAAGGGATAGCAGAAGATGAGATAGATAGTATTATGGAAACAATGAATATGAACTTGGACAGACTTCAAGAGGTAGTGAAGGATAGAAAGGCCTGACATACTGTGGCCCATGGGGTCCGGAAGAGTCGGACACTACTGAAGAACAAAAATCAGCTTTGCCTCCATGCATACTGTGCTGGGAAAAATCTCTTCCCTTTGACTTTTTACTTTCCCTCTATTAATCATTCTCCATACATTCATAATTAGACAAATTGGTGATAGATGACCGTTGATTTTTAAATAATAGCTTCAAATAGTAAATTAAATAACTAATATTTCCAAATGCTGACTGTTTTGGCTACTGCCAAGAAGGAACAAATAACTTTCCCACACACTCCTCCCCTTCTCTGCCCCCCCCACCCCAAGTAGGTTGGAAAGGAGACAAGGAAGTGCGTGGTTGGCTAGGTAAACAGAAAGCACTTCCCTCTCCAGTACTGGAGGGGACCCGAGTTGCGTGCCTTGCTGATCCCAAGGTCTGCTGGTTTTGGCTCTGGCCCATTCTTGCTCTTCCCTGTTCTGCTTCTCAGATTCGGTTTGCTCTCACCACTTTTACTGTGCTTTGCACCATCCTGCCTGTACTTTTGGGTAAGCAGGGAGGGCGTCTAGATCATTTGGATGCTTGTTACCATTGATTCTCTGTGAAGTCCTCCTTTTCCTTCTCTGTTTACCTGCCTGGCTGCCCAGGTCGCTCTGCAGAGGCTCTTTCCAGGTGGAAAGTCTCAGGGACTTTGGGAACGCCTTCCCATTCACAGGAATTAAATCCCCGTGATAATGTCTCTAGAGGTGGGGCAATATGTGCTGAGACAAAGCCTGTATATATTTTCCTTGTTTTGTAGGTGAACCTGAGACAGAGAGAGAGAGAAAGAGGCTGATCTGCCCAAAGTCCCTTAGCTAGTAAGTGGATGAGCTGGAGCCCGAACCCAAATCTTTTGCCTCTCAATCCAGTGTCCTTTCTATGACATGTAGGCATTTTAACGGTAAGATTTGGAACCATACAGACATTTAGCAAAAGCTGATTTTAAAAATTGCTTTAGAGGGGCAGCTAGGTGGCGCAGTGGATAGAGCACCGGCCCTGGAGTCAAGAGGACCTGAGTTCAAATCTGGCCTCAGACCAAACACTTGACACTTACTAGCTGTGTGACCCTGGGCAAGTCACTTAACCCCATTGCCTACCCCCCCCCCCAAAAAGAGCTAAAAATTGCTTTAGAATGTGACCTTCTGGAGTTTATGTTCCTCAATGAAGTTTATCCTGTTGATAACTTAGACTTCAGCTCACGGAAAAGGAGAAGAAGTGAACGGGCAAGTTGATTCACTTCAGCCAACTGCTATCCTTCCTGAATACAGGCAGCAAAGGAACAAGGATGACCAGAAGGGTGGAGAATCCACCTAAGCAGGTGAGGTCTGGTAGGTACTACAGAGTCTCAGGTAGATAAATACTCAGAGCTCTATCTATATGAGCTTAAAGGAACCTCAGACACCATTTACTCCAAATCTCTCATTTTACAGATACGGAAACTGAGGCCCAGGGAAATTGTCAGTCAACAAACATTCATTAAGTGCTTACCATGTGCCAAGCACTGTGGAGTGCTGGAGATAGCAAAAAGGCAAAAGCAACCCCTTCTTTCAAGGAGCTCAAACTCTAAATCTTCCAGACTGTACAAACAGCTGTGTACAAACAAGAGATACATAGCGTAATTGGAGATAATCTCTGAGAGAAGGCATTAGCATTAAGAGGGATGGGAAAGACTTCTTGTAGAAGATAGGATTTTAGCTAGTACTTGAAGGAAGTGAGGAGGAAAAGGTGAGGAGGGAAAGCATTTCTGGCAAGGGCGATAGGATGAGGATTTGAACTCAGGTCCTCTGACGCTAGGGCTGGTACTCTTTTGACAACAGGGTGAATCTAGGGACCCCAGGAAAGAAGGAGCAGGTACCATAGGTACAGGCAGGAAAGTTGGATTCAGAGCCCATGAGAGTCAACTATAATAGCACTATGAACCTAGGGTAGAGAACTGTCTTTAATACTGTATGTTGGCTGTGAGAAGCCATGGACCTTTAGGTATTGATCTTAGTGGAAAAAAAGGTCAAAAGTCTGCCATAGAATGTAGGCACCTTAAGGACAGGGACTTTCTACATTTCTGTCTTTGTATGCCTGGCATCTCACACAGAACCTGCACAGAGTAGGCACTTAAATGCCTGCTGATTTGAATTGCAGGTGAATTTCTGAAGGGAGAGTGATAGTCAGATTACCTTGCAAAGCAGCACAATTTCAGCTTTTAAAAAACATTATCGTCAAAGATAGTGTGGTGGGGTGGTTAAAGAGGTGGCCTTGAAGTGAGGAGGACTTGAACACAATTTCCTCTTCTGACATCTATTGGCTGTGTGATCTTGAGTGAGTTGCTTAACCACTCAGTGCTCCCTGTAAGCCTTTAAAGGCATAAGTCTCAGATCACATGCTCAACCGCATTGGCACAAAGCATTTCCTTCTAAGACCTGCTTCTGTCGATGAAAATATAGGTACAAATAAACAAAAAAAAAAATTATGGCCGATGACCAGTTGCGTCAATGATGGCTTGAGAATGAGAAATGATAGATGTATGGCCCGAGGGCTACTTTAGTACCCTTAAGATTTGAAAAGCACAAGAAGAAAGCCCTCCAGGCTTTGATGAATCCTCCACTGTGGAGCATTTTCTGGAGGGGACGTTGACCAGAATCCCACAAGCGGCCAGGCTGTACCTGGGTTGTGATCTGGGCTGCTGGAGGCAGCATTTAACCAGGAGATCATGGATCCATCCAAGTTCATTGTTACTACTATCATTGCCATCACATTAATTTTGAACTACATAGGAAACTCTGCTTCTTATTTCTGGAATTATACTTAAGCAGGGGAGAGAAGAAGAAACTTTTTTTTCTCCTTCCCAGGTTTCCCAGGGTCTTTAAAGCACAGTACAATAATCTCTGCCACCAATTAAAACAAAATTATTAAGTGCCTACTATGTGTTAGGCAGGCAGCTAGATGGCACACTAGATAAGAGTGCTAGGCTTGGAGTCAGGAAGACTCATCTTCCTGAGTTCAAATCTCTGGCCTCAGACATTACTAGTTGTGTGACCCTGGCCAAGTCACTCTACTCTGTTTGCTCTGGTTCCTCATGTTTAAAATGAGTTGGAGAAGGAAATGGGAGTTTCTCTGCCAAGAAAACCCCAAATGGGGTCATGAAGAGTTGAAACAACCTTAACAATAACAAAATGTACTAGGCACTTTAAAAATATTTATGTATTTGATCCTTACAACAACCCTGTGACATAGATGCTATTATTATTATCCCCATTTTATGGTTGAGGAAACTGAGTCCAACAGAGGTTAAATGATTTGCCCAGGCACAGTGCCTGAGGTGGGTCTTGACTCCTGGCCCAGCATTCTCTCCACTGTGCCACTTAATTGCTAATATTTGACCTGTAGTAGTCCTGAGGTCTAGACAGGAGAGAAGAAAAGAGGAGAAAGGGATAGAGAAAAGGAAATGAGACAGGAACAGGGAGGGAGAGGAAGGAGGAGGAAGAGAAGGGAAGAGGAACATGTGGTAAGGAGTGGTACTTGCTGTGAACTTCAGCATCTCAACACTGACTTCATTATTCTTCACAAGCATCTCAGATCAGCTCCATCTTCAGAGGAGAGCCAAGGGAGTCATTAGGAAAGCGGAACCTTGGCTGTGGCTCACCGTGGCAGCCCCGACTGGAAGGAACATCCCCAGCAGACTGAAAAGTGATTCAGAAGAGTGGTGGTCTTGTCAACGTGAGTGGGCTTTAAGGCCCCCAGTCTCAGCTTTCATAGCCATAAAAGTAAATTTGAGGCTGGAGTAGAGGAGGCTGGAGAGAGAATGAGACAGCTATACCAGCCCATTTCAAAGGGACAGGGTCATGAAAAAAGTAAATTGAATTGTGCCTTGTCAGAGCCAGAGTGGATGCTCAATAAATTCCTGATTTCAGTATAGAAGCAGAGGCTTTGGTGATGCTTAATCATCACTGCTATCTCCCAAGGGGAATCAGCGTGTCCTGGAGGGTGATGGCTTTATTAGGCCCACTTAGATCCTCCTGATCTGAGTCTCTTCTGTTCTGCACCTGAGAGCTTATCCAGGAGAACATTTACTTCTAATGGTTGGTCCTTTAGCTTCATTTTCTTTATGATGGGAGTTGGAAAGAGATGTCATGCCCCTCACCACCGTCTAAATGACCTGAGCCCCACATGAGTCAGTCAACAAGCATTTATTAAGAGCTTGCTATGTGCCAGGCACCGTGCTAAGCACCAGGGACACACACAAAAAGGCAAGAGCCATTTCCTGCTCTCCATGTAAAAGAGGAGCTTAGATGCTTCAGAGGGAGAGAACTGAGACAAAGAAGCTGTTTTAAGGGTTTGCTCCAATGTGTGGCCTGGTTGTTTTCTTGTCAAAGGCTTGTCAGACGATCTAGACAAGGCTAATGAAGTCAGGGGGGGCTGAAGACTGAGCCACGATGGGGGATGGGAGGGGGAGAGGAAGGGAAGGACGAAAGGAGAGAGGGAATGGTCAGGTTTACTAAACATTTTCACTTGAAAATAGGACAGCTGCAAATGGGCAAGATGAATTTTCATATGAAGTCTCAGAGGCCCTTGTGAGGTCCTTCTTTCCTTTAAAGATGAATTGGAAAGCCTGCTTTTCATACAGCGACAACCCAAGAGGTTTCCTATAGAATGGGATGGCTGTCCCTGGGGACGTTTGCTCAGAAAACATTTCTCTTGTAGGTTTCAGCCCCTAGGACTGCTGAACTCTTGGGCCTGGCAAGACTCATCCTAAGCCCTGGGTTTGTTTGTGAAATATAAATGATGATTTTAATACAAAACACCACACTCTCTCCCTTTGGCCCCATCACATTCCCTGGTTTTGACTAATCTAGAGATTCTGTGAGAAGAACTTCTTTTCTCATGGTGCTCCCTGCTTCCAGGAAATACCAGAGCCCTGGGGTATTTTTAAAAAATTAACTCTTAAATTCCAGATGAGAATTAAGGGAATCTTGAGGCTTCCTCAGCTCTTCCTTAATAAGACCCTCAATACCATATGGGGGACCTGTTATCATCCTTGTATGAACTTACTCGTAAGGTGGAGCAGGGCAGCTAAGTGGCACAGTGGATAGAGTTCTAGGCCTGGAGTCAGGAAGACTCATCTTCCCTAGTTTAAATCCAGCCTCAGACACTTACTAGCCATATGACCCTGGCAAGTCATTTAGCCCTGTTTGCCTCAGTTTCCTCATCCATAAAACCAGCTGGGGAAGGAAATGGTAAACCACTCCTGTGTCTCTACCAAGAAAACCCCCAATGGGTCACGAAGAGTCAGACACAACCGAAAACGATTGACCGACAAAAACATAAGATGAGGATGGAAAGATAATAGGTTTAGAACTAGAAGGCACTTTAAGAGAGCAAGTCTAACACCATCGCTTTATAAATGGGGAAACTGAAGCCCAGAGAAGTGAAGCAAATTCCCCAAGGTTGCACACGGAGTGAGTGGACAAAGGTGGGCTCTGCCCTAGCAGTAAGGTACAGTGGAAAGAACACTGACTCTGGAGTCAGAGAACTTGCCTTCAAAGCCATTTATATGACTTTGGGCAAGTAATTTGACCTGTCAGGGCCTCAGCATCCTCAAATGTAAAATGAGGCGTTTGATTTAGGGGACCTCTGACATTCCTTCTAACTCGACATTCGTGATCCTCCTCCTCTAAATGAGGGCATCTGACTCCCCCGTCTTCCCTCCCTTGTACCACATCGCCTCTAAGGGACAACATGGAGGGCAGTAATGATACACGCCCCCGCCTCCCCCCTTAATGCTGGGGCCTTCCCTCTGTGGATTAGCTCCAGTTTATCCTGTGTGCATGTCTCCCCAGTTAGACCGTGATCTCCTGGACAGCAGAGACCGTCGTACCTTTCTTTGCACCCCTAGCACTCAGCACAGTGTTTGACACATAGCAGGTACCTGATACAGGCTTTTTGGCTTGACTTACATATTGTTTTAAATTTGCAATCTGATCTTTACAACTACCTTGTGAGGTGGGTGCTGTTATCACCCCCACTTTTCAGTTGAGGCCCCAAGAGTTGCTGGCTCAGGGTCACACAACTGTTGAGTAGCTGAGGCCAGATTCAAACCTATGCCTTCCTGACTGAAGGGCTGCCACCTTAGCCCATCTTCATCAACAGCTGATGACAGCAGCTTTTCTGTGAGCTGAGCCCTGAGGGGCCCTTTGGCTTTTATGTCTCAGAACCAAATATGACTTTCCCTCCCTCTCTCCCATAGCCATAAAGATTGAAATGATTTAGATGGAAATGACGTTATGGCAAGCTCACTCCTTTACTCCCCAGCCCTCTCATCTTTCCTCATGAAAAGTATGGGGGAGGGAGGGGAGGGTTAGTGCGGGTGGAGGAAGAATTTCAATGTAACAGGTTAGTTCTAAGCACTTTTCCTTTCTGCTCACCCCTGGTTTTCTCTACAGCCTTATTTCTGCATGCCTGTGCCATAGTTCCTAGGGAATCCGAACATCTCTGGCAAAAGAAAGGAGAAAGAGGACAGAGGCAGGTCACTGGGTCTTGAAAAGGGCACTCATTACTGCATGCATACCTAGAGACTGTCCTCATCCAATGTGGGCAGCTAGGTGACTCAGTGGATAGAACTCCAGGGCCTGGAGTCAAGAGGACCTGAGTTCAAATCCAGCCTCAGTCACTAACAAGCTGTGTGACTGTGGTCAAGTCACTTAACCTTGTCTGCTTCAGTTACCTCATCTGTATAATAAGCTGGAAAAGGAAATGGCAAACCACACCAGTATTTCTGCCAAAAAAACAAACAAACCCCAAATGGGGTCATGGAGAGTCAGAAATGACTGAAACTACTCAACAACCCCTCATCTAACGCAGCCTCTGGTTAAAGAATTAAGCTGTGGAAAGAACCATGCTGCTTAGCAGATGCAGGCTCTCATAGAACCGGGGTGAAATGTGTCCAGTGTGCAGGATTCTCATTACAAACCGCTTTGCTTGGTGTGTGGGATTGTCCAGGGGAGGGGGAGATGTGTTGGGGTGAGGGGAAGTACAGAGGGAAGGTAAAGGGGAAAAACTAAGTGGCCAGACCCTCTATTTCCAACTGCCTAGTGGACAGCTCCACCTGGGTGACTTGCTGCCCTTATCTAATACAACCATCATCTTTCCCCTAAACTTGCCTCTCCCCCAGCCAGTGTCTTTGAGTTGTTAATGGCACCATAATTTTCTGAGGTTCCCAGGCACTTACCTATTGGAGACTTCTTTGAATCATGTGGGCTGAATGTCAAGAAACAGTTACCAAGTCCTATCTTTTTTTCCTCCTCTATCATCTTCTCTCCAACGCTTCTTTCTCTCCACCACCTTGTTCCTCAACCATCCTAGTTTGTACCCTCATTTCTTCTCAACTGTACCACAGTAATAGCCTCATCACTGTTCTTCCTGCTTCTAGTCTCTTTGTCTCTCCAATCCATCCCTTATACCATTGCAATTTTCTATTTAACCACCATAACAATGGTACTCTTCTACTCAAAAACTATCAGTGACTCCTCATTGCTTATCAATTAGGGTTTAAATTCCTGACCCTGGCATTCAAAGTCCTCCAAAATCTGACTCCAATTTACCTATCTAGTCTTCTTATTTATTACTACAGGATTCCCTTTTGTGTCCCAGGAAAACTGGAACACTTTGCATCTCCCACTCATATCCTGCCTTCTTCTGTCTCTAGTTCTTTGTTCTCAAGAACTCCATGCTTTAAAATGACTTTACCCTATTCTCCCATTTTCATCCTGCCTGCCTCAAGTCTCTCCCCACTCCAATCCATCCTCCGTTCCACTAAATCCACTAAAGTGATTTTCCTAAAGAGCAAGTTCAATGATGTCATGAACTCCTCACCCCCACCCCCATCCCCAACCCCACCACTTAGTAAACTCCGGTGACTATTGCCTCCAGGATCAAATACAAAATGCTCTGTTTATCACTAACAGCCCCCCTTGCCTTTCCAGTCTTCTTACACCTTACTCCCCAGACACATATTCTTCTATCCAATGACACTCCATAAACAAGATGCTCCTCTCAGCTTCCAGCATTTTCTCTGGGGGTCTTCCACGTCTGATAGCTCTCCTTCCTCCAGTTCAACTATTGGCCTCCCTGGCTCCCTTTAAGTCCCAGCTAAAATCCCACCTTCCACAGGAAGCCTTTTGCAGCCCCTCTCAATTCCACTGCCTTCCTTCTGTTCATTCTTTCCTGTTTTTCCTGTAGTTTGCTTTGTATATATTGGCTTGCATGTTGCCTCCCCCATTAGATTGCAAGCTCCTTGAGGGCAGGGAGTAGACAGTCTCTTGCCTCCTTTTGTACCCTTAGCATAGTGAGTGGCACATAGTAAGCATTTAATAAATGTTGATTGATTGATTATGTGTATAGATATTATATATTTACATATATACATATATGAATCGATATACATTTATACATACAGTTCAGCATAATTCAACAAATTCTATTAAATCAACTATGTATATATGTAAAATGTTAGATTTAATGTTGAATTTTATATATATATATATATATATAAACTATGTTGTATATGATATATATTATACATATATTAGATTTAATGTTGGATTGTGTGTGTGTGTGTAAAGCCTATTCGCTCAGTAGGGAATTCAACAAATTTGGTTAAATCCAATATGTGTTTGTGTGTGTGTGTGTGTGTGTGTGTGTGTGAGTGTATAGGCTTCGTATTGTTATACAGGAGATTATAAACCTCCCTGATACAATGAGTGAGCATCCTGCGTACAAACACACTACAGTATGAATCAAGACAGTCAATCTATCAATAGGGTCTGCTCTGCTTGAAGAACCAATGTTCTTTTACACAATAAGGCATCTGTGGTGTGCCCAAAATA